CGATCTTCTTCTAATTGCTGTGTCCATTCACGATGTAGGCGATCATGGCTCTTCACAATTACCTATCTATTTTGTAGCTCTTAGTAAATTTGTTTTTTCGTTAGCTCTCTCAATTCCTTTTTTCTTTTATCTATTTGCACAAGCTGTTTATATGGTTGTGAGTGTCAAATTCGCCAAGCATTTCTTTTATTATTTATTATATGGCCCAGAAATGTCAACTGTTTCCGTCCGATTTCAAATATAAGCGTTCTTTTTTCTTTAAAACCTCCTCGTTACTCACATGTTCAGCCCATGGCATTCTCGGTATCCTTCTGCCAAACCAAATTCTGCGACTTCAATTCCGTTCTTCATCTGTGAGTAGATTGACCAGCATTTTCGGACATAGAAGACAGTTGATATTACAGTACGCTTTTCTTTGTTTCTAATGAAATTTTCCTGTTTCTTAATACTTTGCTTAGCTTTTGGAATGCATTTTTTTTTTTTTTTTTTTGCTATTCCAATGAGCCTTCGGATTTCGGTAAGACATTTTCCGTCCTTAAGACAGATTATTCCCAGATGTTTTAATTTTCGTACTTGCTTGATTTCAACATTTCCAGTTCAGAATCCTGGTCTTTCCTCTCGCTAACAAACGTATATTAAGTCTTCTTACAATTGATAGTTAGTCTTTTCTTCTTGCCTTTTCTTACTACTTTCTGTAGGTGTTCCTGTAGTTTCTTGTCTCTGTCTCTTGTCAAAACTGTACAATCTGCATATCTAATATTCTTAAGGTTGTGTCCACCAATAACAAATCATAAAAATATCCATGACTATAATTAATTAGAATATAAAAATCGCAAAGAACGAATCATTCAAAAGAAAATATATAAGAAAAAATATTAAAACAATGAAACAGATATGAAAATTCCAGTAACTGCTTAAGTTGAAAGGGGCATTATATACAAAATGAAATATATATGGTCAGAAGATAAACAAATAATACAATCTATAAGAAATAAACAGATTGAGACGATGTAATAATATGTACATAATGGAAAAAGTTCCAAAAAATTATATTACCGAGTTAAATACCGAAATATACATAAAGCTGGAAAGCAGGTTGGAAGATGAGACTGTCGCACCGTAACAAATGAAAAAAAAAAAATTACATATGGAAATCAAATTAAGAAAAACAAGAACGCCAATTGAAAATATTCATAAAATCTAAAACACAAGAGACCAACTTCTGTAATAGAAGAAAGAAACAAAATAATCTTAGTTAATCCCCAAACGACGGGAGAATATTGCAGGTAGAAAGCTGGAAAATGAATTGCTTAAAAGGTATATTTCAGGTTTATTTTCACTTTAATTATATATAAATATCATAAATATGATATTTTAACTGTAATTAATAAAAGAAAAGAAATAAAAGAAATATTAGGTAATCATTTGAAGTTTTCCATAAAGTTGTGTTCTCTCTACCAAGTGTTTCAAAAAGAAAAATGCAGAAGTCAAGATAAACCTTTCGAAAATATGATATGGAATGAGAGGGATTTTTCATCTGAAAATTATAAAATCTGTCTTTTAAAATAATTTTTCAGGAAAATAGGTTTTTCAAAACCAGTAGCTGCTATCGTCCTTTTGCCAAATGTTTCCTTGTAGGGGAACAGCTGATATTACCATTACGAGAATCACCTACATTGTGAATGGACACAGCACTTAGAAGATCGTTTGTTTTTTTCTTTAGGTCCCTTAACCTGTGTAAACCCTGTGTTCTTCACAAATAGAGCAAGTTGAAGATCTTAATGTAGCCAGTGACACTGTATAGCTGCGAGGACTGGACACTCAAAACCGCCAATATTATTAACAATCTGATGTTTGATGTCTTCTGAGACAAAGTGCTGGACGGGCAATAAAACAGACGAATTGGTCCTGGAAGAGATAGGAACAGAGAGGTAGTTGGTCGCGATCAAGAGGGAGTGAAACTGCAATACCTAAGTCATGTCATCAGGGACAAGAACATCTGCACCCACTTCAACTCTACACTTCTAACGTTTCTACCTGAACTATTTATTTGTCAATTATTTTTCTCCCCAACAAGAGTAGATTCGCCTATCGCCCGATTCAAACTCTTCCCCGGTTTTTTGAACAGGAGTAGAAGGTTTATCCCTTGTTTCATGTTTAGGATTGTTTGCAGCAAGTTGTCACCATTTTCAGCCTCTTTTCCCTTCAAGAAATGCACACGCGGACATAACACTGTCTTTGACTTGAAATGCCATCTTTATTTGCAGGAAATGAATGGATCTTGAGCTCATAAGTTCTATAGTGGCCAATTAGTAATTTCGATTCAAGTCATCAGTTGATGATATCGGCTGATCTCCAACGAGACATCAATTGATGATGACTGCCGTTTAATTGTTATATAAAACATGGTTAAGATATACCAACATAGAATACAGAAATTTTGGATGGGCCAAAAGTATGCGTACAGTTGGGCCAAAAGTATGCTTAAAATTGGGCCCAAAGTATGCTCACAGTAACGCCTAAACTATTCTCACAGTTGGGCCAAAAGTATACTTACAGTTGGGTCAAAAATATGCTCACATTTGGGCTAAAAGTATACGTAAAGTTAGGCCAAAAGTATGCTTACAACTGGGCCCAAAGTATGCTCACAGTTGGGCCAAAAGTATGCTTAAAGTTGGGCCAAAAGTATACTTACATTTGAGCCAAAGTATGCTCACTGGTGGGCCAAAAGTATGTTTACTATTTGGTCCACGTTTTAGATCTAACTTCACCGAACTGTTCAGAAGAAGTGGAAGCATCGAATGTCCACCACGTTCACCTGACCTAACACCAATGGATTTCTTTTGGTGGCGGGGGTGGGGAGAGTAAAAAGAAGAGAAATCTCCACACAGTGGACGAATTAAAAGAGTACATATCAGAAGTATTTATTGAGATTAATACAGATTGCAATTTGTGCCGTACCGTGTGTCATAGTGTTCTGGAGAGATCTGAGGAATTTTAAAATGATTGAGGACATTTTGAGCACTTAAGAGATTAAACTGTAAACAAAATGTACATAAAATTCTTAACAAATATGATTGTAACAAATAAATATAATAAAATGTTTTTTTTTTTAATGTAAAATGAATACATACTAAGTTTAAGCCTACTTTTTGCCAATCCTGCAGATAAAACAGAATATTCTAGAATACCGAAAACAAATTTTACAGACAAACAATTGGTGAAACAAAAGATAAAAAGATAACCAGCCGAGAGAAATTAATCTATGCAGGAGCGGATGTAGGAATGAATACAATAAAAAGGTGGGAGGATTAATAGCCTGGAAAACGTGATACACGACACAGAAGACAAAAGAGGTGAATGGAATAAACATTAAGTAGAAGGGAAAATGGCTAACAGCAAGGCCAACGTTAAGATCAGTGACAGTCAAAATGGCGGGATACACCTTTCTAGTTCTGTTTCAAGATATCCACAGCCATGCATGGACGATTGATTAAGCAATTACACAAGTGTCTTGTAAAATCAAGAACACCTCAGAGAAAGACGGATGATGTGGGTGGGGGTGAAAGACTATTCTGATCCAAAAAGACCACCGGAAAGAAACAATTACAGATATCTAAAGCTCTACAAGAAATCTGCGAATTGGAAATTCTTCACGAGTCAAATTTCGAGAAATAAAATGCGATTCTGTACTAAAAGAGAAGAAATAATACTAGAGAAGTAAATTCATTATTTTTTTATCCCGTGACCCGTCGGGGCACCATTTGTACTGCAGCCGCAGTAGAACTGGTGTTTCTTGGGCAAAACAGCATGATGGAGCCCAACCTTTTGCAAGCCGGTTTTAAATTCACAAATTTTTCCTTCTCCTAGACCGGTTGCCACTGCTCTGCTATTTACCCATAGCTGGGGGGAGAAAAGGATTTATACCTTTCCCAAGAGTATTAGTACGTAAGTAAATGTAATGGATTCGAATGGAATTCGAACTCGGCTCTAGGATTCCTAAATACGAGCTGCTATCCATTATTCCAACATACCGCCCTATAACTTCTTATATATCGATGAAAAACCATCAGAGTTGTTTAAATAAAGTAGTACGCATTGGATTAGCGCTTTCTAAAAGCTAAACAAAGTACCAAAGAATAGAAAAAGTCATTAGAAACAAAGAAAGGAGTTTTAGATTCTTATGTCATATCAATCCTCCTCGATGGCAGTGAATGTTCGGTATTTTCATCACAAATGAAGAGGAGACTTTAAGTACATAAATGTGGTACTACAAAAAGATGCTGAGAATACCATAGACAGAAAATGTGAGTAACGAGAAAGTTTTAAGGAAAATAGGGAAAAACGTGTACACTTACATTTAGAATCAGAATGAAACATTTGAATGTTTTGCTACACATAAAGAGAAAAGAGGATTTGGGAAATTTAACTCACAAAACTATTGAAGGCAAGATGGACGGAAGGAAACATCGACTAATCTACCTAACAAGTGAATGGATGGCAAAACAGGGAGAGGAAGTGATAGAAAAAAAAATGCTAAATGTTACAAAAGATAGGAAGATGTGGAGAGCCACGATCATCAGAAAAAAATAACCATGACACCAGAAAAGATGATTCCCGATTTTACCAAATTTCATCAATCTGGTATTTCTGATTTGATTGTCTTTAGTCCTTTTCGCTACCGATTGATCCGAAAGACAGATACAGAATAGGAGCGATAGTAGTACTAGTAGTAGTAGTAGTAGTAGTTGTTGTTGTTGTTGTTGTGGTTCATATTCTTAGCTGTTTACTGTATTAAGTGAAGTGAAAATGGTTAGCAGTAATTGATTGGCTATTTTGTATATGTTGGGGTTTCAGAATAATAGTGTCTGACGTCAGTAATTCGAGTGGGTTGTCTTTGTTGACACAAGAGCGATTATACGCCGTTATTCTCAGTCATAAGGTTCAAGGTAAACAGCCATGAAATGAAAACGATTTTAATAGACATTTCAAAGGCTTACGTAGATAGATAGATAGATAGATAGATAGATAGATAGATAGATAGATAGATAGAAACAGGCTGAATGAACAGAAAAACTAGAGATAGATGATATATACAGACTGATAGATAACTCAGAGATCTGAAATGTGATATATATATATATATATATATATATATATATATATATATATATATATATAGATAGATATATATATATATAGATACAGATAGAGATGAAGTCACAGATTATATACAACTCAATAATTCTTAATACTTTTTTAATTTAAAAAAAATATTTTCGTGAAATGCACAAACAAAATAAATAGGACATCTTTGCAAAAAGAAAACAATTCAAATATTATTTCTTATATTTAAGTTTTATAAAACGAATAAGATAAAAATGAAAAAAAAAGTTTGTTACTATTGTTTATAAAATTCATATACCAGTTCAATACTTGACATTTATTTATTTATTTATTTTTATTTTTATTTTTTATTTTTTTATGCCTTCAGAGCATGGAACGTTTCTTGTCATTTGCGACTAGATTTTCTCAAAATTCAGTAGAAAAATTGACATTTCTTCCTTGTAATTTTTCCTTAATTCAGTGGGTTTTATTTTTCTTTTTATGTAAGTTACCGTCAAATCGGTGACAGCTACTCCGGGACATTTTATTCTCGTTCATCTCGTCTGATATTAAATTGGAAAAAATTTCAATTTCAAACCAATTTACAAACGTTCAGTTGAAGACTTCCCGTATTCCTGCTAGATTTTCACACTACCTCTGTTTTTGTGATTTCTTTCTCAATCTGATGAATGGAACCCAAATCATTGGCAGCAAATTATCCTGCCGTGTGATACAGCCACCAGCATGCAGTCGGAATTTGACTGCTAACCAGGTATTTACAGAAATCGAGGTTGCATTTATCCTTTCAGAGTTTAAATTCTTCAGCTGGGAGCCAAGTAGATATCTTGGTAAAAATGCATATTGACGTCCTTACACTACGTGAATACAAAATAAAAAATATCAGTCACTTATGTACCATGCGTGTTTGCACGCTTTGGCGATCATGTATCTTTCGATACATGACTGACGAGACAGATTTTTCTCGTAGTAGGTTACCATTTCTTTCTTCAGTAGACCAGTTGCCATCCAAGTCTGTCCTGTTATAGCTGGGTGGAGAAGAAGAGGGTTCATACCTTTCCCAAGGGTATTAATATATATATATATATGGTGCGATCCCTAAAATTTCTTGTGAAAAACCTGATTTTTTTCATATAGTGCGTGTATAATGAAACCCCAGCTTCTGAGCAATACTAGCAGGCCTATGGTAGTCAAATATTGCAGAACTAAATAAATGGTCTTCATTCATTTTTTTTTGACAAAGCTTCCCTAAAATGATGAGAAAAATTGTTTACCGTAAAAGATTTAATCCAAAAATTTAGATATCGTACTTTTGTCTGCGTTCTTGCCTGACTACGGTTGCTCCTTCACCCTTGACCTGCTTCTTTCGTAGTCTTTCTTCTTTTTTGTCGCTACATAATGAAAGAAAAAACTCATGTATAATATATGCCACTTCTTTCTTTCTTTCTTTCTTTCTTTCTTTCTATGTGCCGTGTTCTTTCAGGGCGTTGGCGATCATGGCTCTCCACCTCCTTCTATCCCTTGAAACTCTCAACAAGTTCCTTCCCTCTGGTACTTCCCCCAGACCACGTTCTGTCAGCTTAAGGCTGTTAGGTATGTCACGCGTTGTTTTCCCCTTGTCTCTCTTTCGCTCTATTCGTCCCGTCAGTATCAGATTCTCCATGCCCTCCTTCCTCATTATGCGTCCCAGGGACTTCAGCTGATTCTTCCTGTTATTAAGTATAAGCCTCCTTCGTGTTTGCATCCTCTCTAACACCTCATCGTTGCTCACACGCTCGGTCCCTGATATCCTTAGCATCCTTCTGTAGAACCATATCTCCGTCGTCTCGAGTCTCTTCTTTATCTTTGAGGAAATCGTCCAACATTTGTCAAATGTCACGTAACAGCACAGCATTCTTTTCTTCGTTACCAAAGAAATCGTCCCATCTCGCAATATGAAAAAATTAATAGATTTTCTCCTATTTCAAATTTGCATTCATCTTCGTTTTGCAAGTGCTTACATCGCTAAGGTATTGACTTTCCAATCACAACCACTTTGTCAGGATTACCGGTGCATAATGCAAGGTGTCCCACGAGGTGAGGCACATAATTCCGATTATAATTCAAGTTATTCTAAGTATAAACTACTCTATAAACATATGGTGCTTTTTGCTTTTGCTATAAACTGTGGTTGTTCAAAAATATGCTGCAGTGTGTTGCTGGAGCGGCTCTTTGACCAGGGAATTTTACTTAAGAAATAGTGATGAACATTTATTTGAACAAGTAAAATATAAAGAATATAATAAATATAAATGAAGACAGAATAAGGAAGACAACTAAAACATCAGCATATATATATATATTTAGTATATATATATATATATATATATATATATATATATATATATATATATATATAGTTGGATCAATCCAAGTAAATATGTCAGCTCTATCACTGATATTGAGCACTTTCCAATAAGTACCACGCTTATGTAATATATAAATAATATATATAAAAATTGCATATATATATATATATATATATATATATATATATATATATAGTTGGATCAATCCAAGTAAATATGTCAGCTCTATCACTGATATTGAGCACTTTCCAATAAGTACCACGCTTATGTAATATATAAATAATATATATAAAAAATTGCATATATATATATATATATATATATATATATATATATAGTTGGATCAATCCAAGTAAATATGTCAGCTCTATCACTGATATTGAGCACTTTCCAATAAATTACGCTTATGTAATATATAAAATAATATATATAAAAATTGCATATATATATATATATATAATATACATGCACATTTCATAACCCCCCATATATATATATATATATATATATATATATATATATATATATATATATATATATATATATATATATATATGTAATTATCAGACAAACAAGGATTCCTTTGGAAACGTAAATATGTAAACACGTGCTGAACTTGGAGAATGGAAAACAATATTGATATTTTATGTAAGGTATTTGTAGATTTTAAGCAACACACACAGTAAATGATATTCTGTTGTTCATGTATGAAATAAAAGTTATGGTCAAACAATATATTTTAACCCTAAAAAAAATTGTATATATTCATATATAAAATATATGATTTTTATATTCAAAAACTTTAATATACCCTATTTTTTTGCTTTAAAAAATTATCATAAAAACGTCGCTCTATACTCGAGTATATATATATTTATATCTTGAAATTTCCTTATATATATATTTCGGATATATATAACATCGATATATGTGCCTTGAGGTTATATCAAAAGACAAAAATCTAGGAAAAAACCAGAGTTTTGCCCCAAATATGGTAATAACCCTGACAACATTCCGTAAACCTACAGTCAAAATGTAACGACGATGAACGCAAATTGGCCAGAATGGAAAACTAATAGCATCGCCAATGTTGAATTCAAACCACCTCCTTCATTTATGTTTATTTGTAGATTTTTAACCTCAACTTCTCCGGTGCAAAAGGAAGCAGTAAATGATATTCTGTTGTTCCATGAACCAAATTGAAATGAAGAGTTATGATCACCGAAAAGGCTGTAACTGAAGAAATTTAAACCCCAATGATTAAAACATAATTATTGAAAAAAATCATTACCTTGTTCAGAAATTGAAAATATTTAGAAATACATTAAAATAAATCTTTAAAAAAAGGACAAATCTACCATGTTTTTCACAACCTAAAATTCCACTTCCTTTATATGCCAACGTCCTTTCAGCAGTTAAAGCTGTCCACTACCTCCTGCGTCTGCGACTCTAAGCAATTTTTGACTCCTTTACTATGTCTCTTTGTCTTTATTCTTCCATCCGTTAGGCTATTGGCTGTTTCCCGGGTTTTTCTTACTTTCAAGACGTCGTGTGTGAATGTTCACTTCTCCAGCTCCCTTATCTTCATGAAGTTTTCTAGAAATTTCATTTTTCTCTCTCTGATTTAAAGTATATTTCCTTGTTGTTCATATTTTCTTTAAGACTGACTCATTTCTCACATGTCACTTTCGCTTCAAGTCTCTTCTTTATCTGCAAAGAAATTGTCCAGCATTGACTTCCATATTGAAAACTAGATTTATAGAAATAGTTTATCATGGTTATTTTTTTTTTTCTAAGTATATTTCCGATGTCTTAATATTTTATTTAGTTTCAACTTTCTTTATTTTTATCCTCCTCTGGATTTCTGTGACACATTCTCTGTCTAACCAGATTGTTAAATATCTATACTTACTTCATTTTGACATTCCCAGCATGTAGCTCACACTTTAGGATGCCACTTTTGCTGTCAACCATGCCTTCTTAGTTAACAGTCCTTTCTTCTTGCTTTTTTGATATCTTCAGAATTGTCAGAATTTTATTTTCATACTGTTATATAGGAATAAAATGTCGCTGCCGACACTGGGGTTTGAACATAGACCGCCAGAGAGCAAATGCAGGCGATCCCATTATTGAATTAAGTGGATCACATGACCATGGGGGAGATGTATAAGTAGGAAGTAGTATGATGTCTAAACGATCGCCATTTCTAGTCTATCCTCTATTACTATACGGATCACTATTTCTACTCTATCATCTAATACTATACGGTCCGCAATTCTCTTCTCTATACTATTTTCTATAGTGATCACTATACGAATTACTGTACGGATCACCGTATGGTGGTTACTTTTTGAGCGAGTATTATCGAGCAAGTACTATTAGTGCCAGTGTTATTCGAAGGCATCTGCGCAGAGAGGATCTTCATAAGCTTGAGGTCTTCGATCACTACTGCCTCCGCCGTATCCTGCGCGTGCGCCTCTCCGACCGGATACCCAACTCGTCCATCCGCGCCAGATGCAACATTCTGGGCCTGGAAGAAACTCTGCTTAACAGGAGACTCCGGTGGTTCGGCCACGTGCTGCGGCGGCCAGGTGATGAGTTCGTCCGTAAACTGGTGGCACCAAACACACCAACTGGTTGGAAGAAGCGCCGAGGTGGTCAACTCAAGACGTGGCTCGCAACGGTCAAAGCAGATATGGAACTCATGTCCGGTCCTCGCGTTTTCGGGGTGCGACGCTGGAATCGCGAATGGCTCGATCATGCCGTCGATTCTGCTGCCGATCGACGCGAGTGGATGGCCTTGACGCGCTATGCGGTTAATTCAATTGGAGCCGGCTAAACCCACCCCGGTTGAATGACGTTACAAGGAGAAGAGAGAGAAGGCATCTGACACCAGTATTGTTCAACAGCGTACTATAGTTGTATCTGTATTTACAAAGTCTCTACTACAACGAGCATTACGAAAGTAACAACGAATATTCGCTGACATTACTAAAGTGACAACGCGTGTTCGTTGACATCACAAAACATACATTTCCGGAACTCATCGTCACAACGAGCTATTTTGTCTCAAATTATCATTTCTTTATTCAATTGTGCATCACTTCCAAACTCACGAATACATACACACAAAGTTACTGAATGAACATTGGCTGCCTAGATAGATCCAGTTTAAATTGCATGACCCCGCAATGTACAGTGATATTAATATCAAAAAGAAAAAAAATCGATGTAATCTCATTGGACGATTAACTAATATTTTCAGCCAGCGAATAAATTTAACACTTTCACGTCGAAATTAATAAAATTAATGTTACTATAAAGTCCGACCACTTTCACTTGCATCTAATTCTTTCTTTCTTGATAATGATCGAAGCCAGTCAAAAGTTTGGAACCTTGACAAGAACTAACAGGAACTGTGGACAATTCCTTGACCCCTTCAACACCAATTGACGAAAAGTAATCCGCCAACAATTAGGAAAAAAAATATAATAGATATGACTTGTTATGAGTCTGTCTATATTTCTGAGATGAGGTATTATGTACAGTAGTTACATTAGTCGGACTATTGTCCTCATCTTTGTCGCCATATTTGTCACAACGTTTCGGCCGTTGTACGCTCCGGCCTTCTTCAGGTGGTTGGAATTTCTAACTGAACCCTTTATTTCGATCACTGGGATAGACTGTTCTAGTTCCACGTGCCATGTTTGATGGATGTCAGTTATCAGTTATCTCCTGCTAATTTTCCCTCTGAAAGTTCTCCACTGCCTTAACCAGGTATTGAACTCACCTTCTTTGGGTCTATCACTGGATCTAACCAACGCCTTTATCCACTGTGCCATGCGTCCTTGAGGACATCTGGGTATGAACTTCTGGGTTTTGAGCAGGAGATAACTAACATCCATCAAACATGACACGTGGAACTAGAAGAGTCTACCCCAGTGAGCGAAATAAAGGGTTCAGTTAGAAATTCCAACCACCTGAAGAAGGCCGGAGCGTACAACGGCTGAAACGTTGTGACAAATATGGCGACAAAGATGAGGACAATAGTCCGACTAATGTAAATAATGACTTGTTATCTTTAACAAATGTTGTTTATATAATTAAATGCTTCTTAGATTGCAAATATACAAAGCATTCTTTTGCCCAAGGTTTCCACTGATCAGCCAATGAATTCCGTTCTCGCTTATTTCGGTGATCACCGAAAGCTGGGAAAGGGTCAGCTGCATGCTCACAAGTTAGTGGAAATGAAAAAACAAAAAACGCCACATCGAGATCAGAATTCGAACCCTGTTTCCTATATTATATGGAGGTGTTTTATTCGGAGCTTTGTTCGATCGCCTGAGTGGGTAGTTAGGTGACACTTTCTGCTGTGTCGACCTCATAGATTACCTCTTCAACCTACCGGCTTCTCGCCTGCCTACACATCTACAGCTGGAAATACGAATCGTTGTCATCGGAAGTACGAGGCGGACAACTGCGTCTCCCACCAAGGGTGAACCTGACTGAATCACCGCTCTCAAGCATGACTATTAATATCGACCAGCACTCAGATACAACATATTTCCAGTTTTGTTGTTACTTGGTCTCCAAAATTTCCCATTCCACTGCTTTACTCTTCCGTTGCCCCTCGGACAAAGTGGATGCCGCTTAGAAGATTCGAAATAACCGATACACCATCAATAAAATAGAAACACTTGAAATAGAAATAAAATCCCATCTTCCTACTTTAAGTAGGTAAGTAGATAGATAGATAGATAGATAGATAGATAGATAGATAGATAGATAGAAACTGGCTGATACAGATAAATGCTTAGAAAGAAAGAAAGAAAGAAGTTGAGATAGATAGATAGATAGATAGATAGAAACAGGCTGATACAGATAAATGCGAACACGCTTACAAAGAAAAATGATAGAAAGAAAGAAAAAAGAAAGAAAGGAAGGAAGGAAGAAAAGAAAAGGAAGAAAGAAGATAGATAGATAGATAGATAGATAGATAGATAGATAGATAGATAGATAGAAACAGGCTGATACAGATAAATGCGAACACGCTTACAAAGAAAGAAAGAAAGATAGAAAGAAGGAAAGAAAGAAAGAAAGAAAGAAAGAAAGAAAGAAAGAAAGAAAGGAAGGAAGGAAGAAAGAAAGGAAGAAGTTGATAGATAGATAGATAGATAGATAGATAGATAGATAGATAGATAGATAGATAGATAGAAACAGGCTGATACAGATAAATGCGAACACGCTTACAAAGAAAGAAAAAGAAAGATGAAAGAAAGAAGAAAAGAAAGAAAGAAAGAAGAAAGAAAGAAATAAAGAAAGAAAGAAAGAAAGAAAGAAGGAAGGAAGAAAGAAAGGAAGAAGTTGAGATAGATAGATAAGGACTGACTGAGATAGAGAGATATAGATAGACTTTTAGATCTGAACTGTGATTCATAGATAGAAACAAATATAGATTAATATACAGATGAAGTCACAGATTATATACAACTCAATAATTCTTAATACCTCTTTTAATTTCAAAAAATATCTTCGTGAAATGCACAAACAAAATAAATAGGACATCTTTGCAAAAAGAAAACAATTCAAATATTATTTCTTATATTTAAGTTTTATAATACGAATACGATAAAAATGAGAAAAAATGGTTGTTGCTGTTGTTCATAAATTCATATACCATTTTAATATTTGACCGTAGATTTTTCTTTTGTTTTTTTTTTTTTTTTTTTTTTTTTTTGCTACCGTCAGAAAATTAGGTGGCCAGTTCCCCATACAGAAGTTCCTACAAAAACCTTTCCATCAGTAGACTAATGTTACCCGTGTTCTGCCGTCTCAGTGAGACGACTTTGGAGTGTACTCTTCAGAGCGCAAGGCTAGGCAGGGTTTTATAAGAGGATTGTCCATGTACCATGTCTCACTTATCCACGGTTGTCCAAGGGAAAGGTATAAATCCAATTATAATAACGTCTAATAAGAATACGAAACGAAAGTTTTCATACAAGAAATCTGTTTATTCAGTTTTGGACTCCATGAAATTAATCTAAGTCTAATCTTAGTCTAATCAAGGGTATGTGATTTCGAATCTTCTTTCGAAAGTTCGATCTTCTTCTTGCGGTAATATGAGAGATTATATTTATCTTCTCTTAGGTTTAGACTTTATATAAAACTTCCTGTTATCCTTTTTTTTCCCCACATGTATATATCCTAAGTTAGGAAAGGTCCATTTAGGCCAGATTGATTCTGCATTGGCAAATTTGAGTTCCTCTTGTAGGGCAATTCACTGAGCTCCCAGGTCTTTTGCTCTTCTACGGTGACACCGTGTAAAAAGAAAACTTATTTTGGTAAAAAAAAAAAAAGGTTAGGTTGAACTGTAGGATGAACCCAGTATATATTGGCATCATCACAGATCAAATCTTCTTAGGTGCAATTCTTTGTTATTTTCTGGCCCCAGTCAGATGCTAAGGACCACAGTTTCTATGAAAAGTGAAAATGCACCTATTTAAACAGTACACATCTTGCAAGGAACAATCGAAGCAGTTGCATAATTCTCCTGAACTTTTAGATTTCAACTGTGTCTCAATTGCTAACTAAAATGACACCCTCTATCTCTCTGTCCTTCGTTCTCTCTTTTTCACCCTTCACTCTCTCTCCCTATCCTTCGTTCTCTCTTTCTCTCCCTTCATTCTCTCTCTGTGTCTTTCGTTCTCTCTTTCATTCCATTCTCTCCCTCTCTCTCTCTCTCTCCCTCTCTCTCTGCGTGTGTGTGTGTGTGTATGACCATCCATTTTTTTACAATTATTAAACTACCATATTTATATAGACCTATATTTCTTTTCTCTTATATTCCCAATAGTATTGTTAAGATATTAATCCAAGTTAATTGACGTGTTTTTGATCTGTCATAATATCCCAGAGTAATACCAAATTTAATTTTGCATGATTTTTTGTTCCTTGTTCATTTTTGTTAAATACTGCCTACTTTTTTCAATGTCGCATAATTTTTTGTTCATATTCATTTGATAATGTCCTTTCGCCATATTCAATGCATTATTAAATATGTTTTCTGTAATAGATATAAATACTGTTATTGAATTATATAAAAATATATTCGTTTTCTCCTTTTATGTTATAAAACAATTTATAATATCGATTTTTGTTTTCCCATTGGTTTATTCCAGTTTCTAGTCTTAGTTTTTGGTTTAATTGTTGCAATAGATTTGCTTATCTTTCCAATATCGCTTTTTCTTATCCTTAACGTCTTTAATTTTGATATCTGCTTTTGTTGTTTTATTTTGTTGTCTAAATTCAATTTAGTTGTTTTTCTTTAGTTTCTAAATTAATTTTATATATTGTTTCGCGTTTTTGGTGGAATTTTTCAAAGCATCCTCTTCAGATTTTATGCATATTCTTTGCTTTATCCGCATATATGAATGGCTCCTTTGAGTTTCTTATTTTAGGCATATCATGTCTGAGTTCCCTTTGAAATTCGTTCATTTGTTCCTTTCTTGATACTTTATTGTTAGTACTATGTCCAAATGGTCTTTCTCAATTGTATTAAAAAGCACTTTTAAATGTTTTCAAATAGACACACATATCAGAAATAGATACACATATCAGAAAAGTAAGATACAAATATGTATGTTTGTGTGCGTGTCAGTTAGCGTAACCTTTTTTTCGAGAGCCTCACAAATACAACGCTCGCATACTACACAGAAACGCCGTAGAGTTATATTTTATCTTAGGAAAAGTGAAAAAAAACGCTTTGTCCCTTGACCGAAAATAATCACAGAAATGTTAGTGGAACTCTACACACACACACATATACATACACACGCATATATATATATATATATATATATATATATATATATATATTACACAATACACAAACACACACACACACATATATATATATATATATATATATATATATATATATATATATATATATATTTTTTATAGCCTGAGAAGAGTGAAAAGACACTCTGTCCCTTGACCGAAAATAATCGCATAAATATTAGTGGAACTCTTGACACACACACACATATATATATATATATATATATATATATATATATATATATATATATATATATATATATATATATATATTGAATGCATATATATATTGAGTCTGATGTTTACCTCTCCGTCACCGAGGCCCGTTGGAACAGTTGGTATGACGTTTGCATGATAATCTAACTGTTCAATTCTCAGTAGTGGATGCGCACTGCTGATGAGTCCCAAATATAGAACGAAACGGCCGTCCACTGCATTCTGTTGAGGTTTCTTCTAGACCCGATGAATTAATTAATTATATATATATATATATATATATATATATATATATATATATATATATATATATGAAATTTCTCAGACTTAACCTGTAGAAAAGACAATATTTATAAATGACAATAGGAAAATTGTAGTTATTGCTGACATTGGACGAAACGCGTCAGCAATAACTAGTTTTCCTATTGTCATTTATATATATATATATATATATATAATAATATCTGTCCACTCGTATTCGAGGATGCCCGTCTACTAGGGTGGCTAGTCAATCCCTATTGCAGACTCTCGCTCAGGCACATTTGTGTTTGTTCAACAACCACAGAGCCAACCTGTGGTTTATACTGCAACTACACTGAGCAGACCTTAGTTACACTTTCTGAGAGAATGATCAACAATCTGAACAAACCCTCTCTCACGATGGCTTGTTACTTCATGCTAGCGTATGTGTGTGTGTGTGTGTATGTATGTGTGTGTGTGTGTGCTTCATTGAATAATATAGACGTGTTATGTCTACTTATTTTTATACTGATCCTTTCCAATTGTCTAACGGGTATTTTGATTTCAAGACGAAATTCATCAAAGAAAGCGCCGTAATTTTCTTTTGTTTTTTTTTAACCAAAGTATTTTCGATCTTTTCTAATTTATCCCTGAAGATGATGTTAGAAAAGATCGAAACTACTTGGATTAAATAAAAAAAAAAACAAGTACTTTCGATCTTTTCCAAGATTATCTTCAGGGATTGGAAAAGATCGAAAGTACTTGGGTTAAAAAAATACTACGGTGCCATCTTTTATGAATATGAGCCTAACATCAAGAAACTGATTAGACAAATGGAAAGGATGAGAATGAAAAATAAGTAGACAGAATGTATCTATATCCTTCAATGAAACATGTATGAATGAAGGTATACTGCCGAAATACACTCACACACACACACACACACACACACACACACATATATATATATATATATATATATATATATATATATATGTTTCATTATGCTTACACCTACGCTTTAGTTTTAGTCTGCTTTTGTACTTTAGTGCTCTCTGTCTATACGAAGCTTTCCGCCTCTGGGTGAAAATGTTTTGTAACTCAATATATGTGTAATGTCTGTAAGCTGTATGCACTTTAAAAGTAGAATTCTGCTTTGAGATTTTCACCTACGCTTTTTCGATGCTTCTTGTGTCTTCGTGACTAAGGAGAACAAATTCATGAATGATTTGTCTATAATATGTCTCCCTAAAAGCTGAAGCCCTAAAACTGTGCAGGGAAAAAAATGGGAAAATGTATAGAGAATGCTTGACTGAATGTGTGATTGTTAGCAAGAGAAAAGGCCCGAGCTACTTGCTACGAATTCGAGATGTCAAAATCAAGCAAGTACAGAAGTTTAACTATCGAGGTAATGAGAAAATGGAATTCATAAATTTTCATATATCAAGAACAGTTTTAGGAAAATCTATAACAAAGTGGAAATTTTTTTTGTGACGCGTGATTCGTCCCCTAGAACTTAATCGGACTAAAGTCATGTTCACGTTGATGCAACTACAGATATGCAGAGTTATAAAGCCACTCTTCTCTTGCTATTATCACATATTCTTACTTATATAACTGACTTCGTATATGGATTCTCTATACGTAATGCTTCGGCTTCTCTACTGTGACGTCTGTATTAGTTAGTGTGAAGACTGGCTTCAAACGGTTAGGCCTCTCCACTTAGCCGGGATGAGACACAAGGTCAGGTTTAATATGAGGAACCCGAACGCGTAAATTCGAGACGCTGGTCCAAAATTAAATCATTTCCTGCCAGCGCGGAGAATGACAACTTTCCTTGTCTGTTCTACTCAGCCGAATCTCTATTCGCAGACTGAATCCCGATTGAGTCGACCTCTTGTCAATCACAACTCAGAGAGCGGACTGCCTGATTCCGAACTGACTTTTACCCATCGCCCCACTGCGGTCAAGTTTATTTTGGGGAACCCGAGCATTTCCAACAGGGCCACTGGTCAAAATTTACGCAACCCCCGCAAAAGTGGGCCCGGATCTGTTTTTCTCAGCCGAGTCTCTATCCGAAAACAAATTCCCGAATGAGTCACCCTCTCCCCGAAGATAGACGTCTCGTCAGTCGCAAGTCAAACAGCTTACTGCCTGACTCCGGACTGCTACCGGTATTTACCTGACAACAAGGCAAGATGTGGCACAAGGCAAGATGTGGCATAAGACGAGATATGGCACAAGGCGTAGGCAAAAATCCCCCGTAGAAACCGCGTACACGGGGTTGGGTTTGTCTACCTCTCCAGACGAGACTCTGCCCGTAGGCATAGCTTCGTCTGGGTTCCTCTCCGCCCGAAGACAAGTCAGCCGCGAGCCTGGCAGCGAACTGCTAGGTATTTACCAAACCTCCCACGAAGCAGGATGTGGCACAAGGCCGATTTCTATGTGGGGCGATTCCTAGCCCGTACGCTCAAACAAAAATTCCCCGTAGACACCGCATACACGGGGTCGGGTTCGTCTAACTCTCCAGACGAGACTCTTCCCGTGGGCAGAGCCTCATCAGGGTTCCCTTCTGCCCGAAGGCAGGGAGTTCGACAAGCTTGTCGTGAGTCAGGCCGTGAACTGCCTGACTTGAAACTGCTATCAGTCTTAACCCTTGACCTGGAGCACTTTATAGTAATAGACTAGTTCATATGGTCTCCGGGGGTGTACTATTTACACCAAAACACGCACAAAGAGAGGAGGATGAAATTTAAAATTTAAATGTTTTGGATATATAGCGATTTAATAAGCGCAGCTTAAGATGTGGCTCAAGGCCGCAATTATGAGACACCCAGTAAGCATCGAACTCACCACTCGTTCATAGTTAATCAAGGGCACCTGAGTTTTGGGTACACAAATATTTAATAAGCTTAGCTGTTTCACAAGGCCTCAAAGTATAGGGTACCCAGTGGGGATCAAAGTCACTAAATATTCGTAGTTGATCTAGTGACAGAAGCCTGCTAGTTTTTGAATATATAGCAATTTACAAAGTGTGGCTTAAATATGGCACAGGACCTCAATTTTGAGGCACCCAGTGGGGATCAAAGTCACTACTCATGGGTAATTGATCTAGAGAGGCATGTCTGCTAGTTTGGAGGATATAGTAATTAAATGTGGCACAAGGCCTCAAGTTTGGTCACCCAGTGAGGATTAAACTCAGTCATCACATCGTAATTGTTCTAGCGAAACAAGCTTGCGAATTTTAGTTATATAGAGATTTACTAAAGGTAACTTAGATGTGGTACATTGCCTCAAGTATGGAGTACTCAGTGAGATCCAAACTCACTACTCATTCGTAAATGATTAGCTCCTATAGCAGTGATTAGCAGTTATTGTCTTGTGTCTGACTAGGTGTCGTTTCGTAATATTGCTCTAAAAGACGCGTAATTAGCTGTTCCGTAGCCTACTTCGGGCGATATGGAATGTCATACGTGTTGTTAAAATATGGGATTGGTTTATACGAGAAAATTTAAGACGCGGTGACTTCTTTAACAAAGGGAAGTTGGGCGTTTTGCTAGAGAAAAATATGAAAACCAGCTGACTGTACGCGACCGACAATGTAAAAGACTTGCCTAAGGACTGTTAGTCATAAATAGAAGGCTATTCGACGAATTTCTAATGTATCAAAAGTCTTTCACCAACATATGTTTGAAGTCTTTTGCAGCACACGAACTGTGAAATGCATGGCGTTGCTGAAAGAAAACTACATTGAATGTCAACTCTGATCTTTTCTACGTCTCTTGGCCAACGCCGATACTGCGTCATTCGTTATCATTGTTGTGTATGTTCGGAGAATTTTCTTCTTTTTTTTTTTTTTTTTTTCACTTCATTCTTCTTGCTTTTTAGGACAGAAAACTTTTTTTTTCAATGATTTTTTTTCTATTTTCCTTTCATTTTTTTTTCTACATCTCTTTCTTGTCAATTGACAATCGCTACAAAATTACTCTGGTCAGGATATTCAATCAGGCTGAAAACAAACTAGCATTTTAAACCTTATATATATATATATATATATATATATATATATATATATATATGTATGTATGTGTGTGTGTGTATGTATATATATATATATGATATGTATGTATATATATAAATAAATGACGTGTATATATATATATATATATATATATATATATATATATATATATATATTTTACTATATATTTTACGAATTTATATTTCATCTTAATCATGTATATGTGTTTCTTATTTATATATATATATATATATATAAAGAGAGAGAGAGGAGAGACGACTCGTACATGATTCTTACACACACTATATATATATATATATATATATATATATATATATATATATATATAATCGTCATATATATATATATTGTACATATATATAACATGTATAAATGTACGTATTTTCCTCTTAACATTGTTTTCTTGTATGCACACGCATATGTATCTATTTATCTATCTATCTATTCATCTCTCTCTCTTTCTCTCTCTCTCTCTCTTATATATATATATATATATATATATATATATATATATATATATATATATATATATATATATATATATATATATATACAGGAGACAGCATCTGAGAAATGTATTTGTCGAAATATATTGACTTATGTATAAGTTTCGCACACACACACACACACATATATATATATGCGGTTACGTAGATGATATATACATATTTTTGTATTATATATATATATTTATAAATGGCTATATATATATATATATATATATATATATATATATGTATGTATGCTGGGATATGTCTATTAGACATTTCACATTTAATCTTGGTAATTTTTATCCCTGATATCGTTATATAGTTAATTGCTTAGATAAGATTAGTTTGACGCAAGGCCAACTCTCTGACATCGGATGTGAATCGAACACGTAATAACGCTCAGAGTGACCGAGGAAACATTAATCCTTGGAAAGTCTTTCAACGTGTACGTATGTATGTAATGGACGCATAGCCGAGTGATTAGGTACTTCGCTTTCCGGCCATCAGAATCGTGTTTGTACCTCAATATGGTCCTGCGTTTGTCATTCATTTGAGACCGGATTTCATTCCGGAATCCACAACACTAATTTTGTCTCGCTTATAGTTATTCTAAGTGAATTATTTTGTGTAACCATTTTTTCTTCATTTTCTATCATCTACATAAAGGTAATAACTTTAGAGCAAAAAAATAAAATTTTGGCGGGAGATTTTGAACTCCTATTACCAAGTATGTAATACTGGACAATGGTTGAAATTTTTTAATTAAACATCGTCCATTCTAATTAGGTGCCATTTTGCAAACCCCTTTTTTTATTAAAGACTTTCCAAATCACTCTTTTTCTATATAATGCTTGAAAAAGATTTCTAATCGTATTTATTAAGATATTTGAAGATGATGCACTGCCAATTATTTTATTGCATCATTTTTATGGAACAAACAATTAGTATTGCATCATCTTTCAACAAGTACAAAAACAAAACAGTGGTAGTTTGCCAACTACTCATTTGGCCTTGGTAATCCTTCATGGTAAACAGGTGGTTAATGCTGAAACTTAATTTTCTTGTGAGCATTGGTATTTTTTTACTATTAAAATTTATTACTGATACTTTTACTATAAAAATGTATTCTTATACTTTCATGCTGTTTTAACCCCAATTTGGGGGGTTAAGTATTTACCCAAAGCTAGTACCCTAAAGGGTGCTACCACGCCTAGTAGGCATGGGAACAATGGTAATTAAGTGGTGTTTTCAGGCTCCTCAAAACTTGCCTTGATGCCGGATGTAGTTTAGCACCATAGCCAGGACTAGGAAGACGAAGAGAAAAAGAAATAAAATAAAACATTTGAAGAAAAATGATAATTCAAATGAAATTCCAGGAATCTCCTTTTGGTAACAATGGCAAATTTTCTTCATTCTATCGATAATCGCAGAAACATTTGCCACTTATCATGGAAAGAATGAAAAAGACCGCATGCAACGATGGCGACAATGCTAACACCGATTATTATTATTATGAAGATGGTCGTCATGGAGATGAGGATGATAATAAATATACCTCATTATAATGTTAACAAAGAGGGACTAAATTGAATTCGCTTACAAACTGGATGGTGTTCGATGAGAGGAAACATTTATTGCTGTTATGTTTTACTATGAAAATATAGTTTTATAATTTCATTGTGTTTTGACCCCAATTTGGGAATTTACAAGTTTCCCATAGCTAAGACCCTAACATGTGCTACCACCCCGGGTCAGTATGAATCTCTGGGAATAGCATCATCTGCGTGGTCGTTCCACGCTTCTCAAAATATCCCGACCAGAGATCTTACCGGATGTAGTTTATCGTCATACCTAGGACGTGTAGTGGGGGGGTGCGATCCGGTACTTTTGGCAAATGCCTTTAAACAATCCCATGGTCTGATCCAAACCTTGTGAATGAAATTGGCTAGACAAAACCGTTCGGAAACCGAAGCTAACAAGTCATCGTGACCGAGGAAATGAGCGTATCGGCGTTATCCAAACTGTTACTCCTGGGGGATTATCTGCTCACTCCCAGAAAGTTTAACTGTGATCCGCTCAGCATGGTTAGGATATGATTCACATGTGACCTCCGCGGGTGTCGAATAAGCACTAATGGGCCTGAGCAGGCGTCTGCGACGGGGACTGACTAGCCGCCCTATCAGATTATGCCATTATGCATGTATCTATGTATGGGAATGTCACATACTGTATTCTAACGTTTCGACTTACGTATTGCCTTTAATCAGTGCCCCGTGGTTATCATTAACTTTCCGACGTTTATCACATCAGTTTGATTAACTTATTCATTTCTGCTTCTCGGATTCATTTTTCCAGAATTGACTTTTTGCTTGAGTCGCGTACAGGAAATGGCAAAGGCGACAAATTCTATAACTCACTGATCGGATATAGCAGTCTATGTAAATCAAATATCCTGATGCTGCTAACCAAAATTTCTTTCAACCGCTCAATCACTCACCTACACACAGAGACAAAGGAAACGAAAACATACGATTCTAGAAATAAATAGACTAGCAGACGTACCCAGAATTGCCCGCGTGTCTGAATATTTGAAATGAAATACAAGCGCTCGACTTTATAATAGTTTGTATCAATAGCTTTCAAAAATATGGTGAAAATCTTCACTCCCTCTCTCTCTCTCTCTCTCTCACACACACACACACACACACACATATATATATATATATATATATATATATATATATATATATATATATATATATATACCGTATATTTCGACGTATAAGGCAACCTTTAGATAAACTCACTCTCTCTCTCTTTCTCTATACATATACATACATATATATATATATATAGATAGATAGATAGATAGATAGATAGATAGATAGATACACACACACACAAGGTAAGGCAAAAAATCGAACATCATACGTGTTAATGGATCGGTTGAAGAGTTTCTTTTGAGTGACGACAGAGGTCACCAGATGTCACCAGAGGTCACCAGAGGTCACCAGAGGTCAAAAGGATTTCTTCTGTGGGGAACCA